CTTTTTACTAAGTAGTGTCCACGTTTTGCCTCAACTTCAAATACCTGAAACTTAAAGGTTTTGATCATATATCAGGATAAAACATTAATTTGAGGACACTAATTTCATCAAAATCTAGCCCTAAATGAGTCAAAATCACGGACTCATCACCCACCAAGAAGTGGTGGACCGCGAGACCCTTCACAGGCAGTGGACCACCACACGACCCGTGGGAAGGCTCATGTAGGCTAGGTTGAGAACACCAAAGCTTAGGCATCAGACAATAGAGTCCACCACGGGCTATGGTCTTTACAACGGTCCATGGGAGGGTCCTTCGTCTTGAGCCAGCAAGCCCCTAGCCCCAAGTGAAGAACCATAGAGGCCTTCACGGTTTGTAGTCCTTCACATAGTCCGTGAAGTGGACCATGGGAGGGGGTTACATGAAAAAGTAGACCATGACCCACTCAATGGGCCGTGGTCCCAATGACGGTCTGTTTGTGGCTCCGTGGAAGGGCAACGTCAGCTTTAAGTTAGGGTCATTTTGGTCTTTTCCCTATGTATTGGTCATTTAAACAATGTCGTTTAACACCTAAACTATTCTGTTTTACTTAGTTTAAGCCTAATAATTTTGTTATAACCTATCAAAAACCATTATTACCCAAAAATCCACCGAACTTAGAACAAAAGAAGAAGAAAGAGACATCAATTTTCTCAAGAACACACAATAAGTTTTCTTCGGTTCTAGCCCCAAAATCGAAGAATTTCTCGGTAGATCTCATCACCAGGTATGTGGGATTTCACAAGTGATTCCTTTAATCCATTAGGTCCCTAGAATTTAGTCAGTTCCTTGATTCTCTATATTTTGTTTAGGCCTAGGGTTTCTAAAACCTAGGAGAATTGTTATGATTTGAGTTGCTATACAATCCAAAATCTAAATATCATGTTTTCTTGGAAACGTTGTGTAATTCCTTCAATGAAATTCAGAACCCTAGTTCATGTAGATTATCTTAGTTCATGAATTACACTTGCTAGGTCAGTTAAACAGATAATCATTCTCCAGTTTTGAATGTTACATTATCAATATATAAATGTTGCATTCTCAAATTTACATGTCATTATTTTGAACTATTTAGTATATCAGTATTTAAGTTACATTTCAGTCATTTACATATTCAGTTGGGAGTAAACTTAGCAGTAAGTTGGACTAGGGTTCAGTGTGCCCTCATAGTCCCAGAATTACATGCCCATGTAGGAGTAAATTTCCCTCTGATGGGCATCAGATTTACACGTCATCCAATTCTAGGTGTCAACGCTCATAAATTAGTATAAAACCCAGCTAAATGAGTTGCGGTAGAATCTCACAGGGAGCGGTACATGTTTAGAATTCAATTAAGAAGTATGAATGTAGTCTAATCAGCCATAGGAATTATATATCAAGAAAAGACATTAATCAAATTAAAGGGGTGACACGAATGTCAAATAGGGGTTTGGTTTGCAATTATCAACTACAAGCAGTCATACCAATTCTAAATGACAATAAAGAGATTGATTCTCGGGATGTGATCGATTATAGGCAAATATAGGCATATGGGTAATTGCAACTACTAGTAAATATTTAAATATCAGTGAGTAGGCTAGACTACAAGGGAGATAGCTTTCTCTCGAACAGCTACCTCGAATCAGGTGATTTCTTTCGAACATCAACATGCATAACAATGAATAACAACCCACACCTTAACACATCCAGTCTTTCGATGTAGATGGGTGGAATTGGGTTTAGGATTCACTCTCTCGAGCTAAACCCAGATCAACCCAATACCAATAAATCACCAATCAATAATTTTAGTCGTATAACCTCTCTTTCGAGCAAGCCAAGATCACAATGGTAGAGTTCCATTTGCAACTACAACTCATAAATTAAACCACAATTAATGATTAAAGTCAATTTTAAACAACATTTAAACTAGGAATTAGCAATACCTATAAACTAATTCAGCTTATAATAACATGATTACACCCCAAGAATTGGGGTTTTAGCCAAGCATCCTAAAAAGGTAAAAACTATTACGAATTGATTATCTATCATGTAATACCCCGGAAACCAATAGACTAAACTAGAGGCTTAAGTTAGGGTTCTAGATTTTGATATGAGGGTAAGAATCGTAGATAAGATGTCCCGTACATAGAATGGGGGGTTTAGGGGTTAAACGTCAAGGTATGTGTTAAACCCCGTAGTTTAGAAGACCATTTAGGGTTAATTAAGGGTTACAAGGGCAAGTCCCAAGGCAAAGGGGTAAAGCCTATGCCAAAGGCCAAGGCTGCCCTAACCTTGGTAAGACACTGCCCCAAGTTCACCACCATCAGCACGACCAATGGTCTTGACCACAATTCGTGGGATGCCTCGTGAGGTCCCTCAGAATGGTCGGGGGCAAGGCCTTAGGCCAAGGCTATGGGACCATGGACCACGGGCAACTTCACGGTCAGTGGTGAAGACCACGACCCGTGGGAAGTCTCCTGGTCATGCCTTAGCTTTGTGGGGGCCAAGACACCTTAGCCATGTCACACCTCAAATACAATTAAGATGGATAGGCACCCGATGCCCTAAAGGTCCGAGAGAACCAATATGTAACTTGTGCTTACTATGCATATAACTATGAAAATCTTAAAGTTGTGACAAGTTCACATAGGTTGCAGCGATAAGAACCAACATAAGTAGACCCAAAATTTATATATACAAAACTTGGCCGTTGAGGCCACAACTTGTTAATACACACTTGAACCATATACATTAGTCTACAAAGCCTCTAAAAGATAGAGAACCTTAGAGTAGGTCGGGACAAACCCCGCCTTACCCTTAACTACGATACAATTCCAAAATGAATCAACCAAGGACTTAGTAAAGCTCTGAATCAACCTGGAGCTCACCAAAAGTAGCTGAGTGTCATGTGCTCCTACTGAGGAGGTCTACTAGTTGGAGTACATGTGCCTGCAGCAGGAAATGCAGCGTCCCCAGCGAGGAATGTCAGTACGAAAAAATGTACTGAATATTCAAGGCAATAACATATATAAAATAAGTGTTCGAATGAAACCGAGTGTCAATATATGTGTGCATAAATCATAACAAAAGACCACATTTGTTAGCTCTTGTAGGATGATATAGGTTACATTCTTGTCTTTAACTTTTTGTGTGTTATGATCTTTATAAGGCATGTCATATAAATGACCAGCTGATCAGTGGTAGAAGAGGATGAGCCATGCTAGGCATTTTAACCCCTGGGATGCGGTCCTCATAACTACACAAATTAGGATCGGCCCAAGCTAGGCTTTCGCCCCTGAGTTGCCACCCTTCTATACCAATTGGGATCGGCCCATGGTAGGCTTTTTCCACTGAGTGCCACCCTTATATACCAATTGGGATCACCCATTCTAGGCAATTTCCCGTGGGCTGTCACCCATAATTATATAGATTTCTACACTTAGATTCTTTAATCTTTGAGAATGTTGTTTTGGTGTTCATAATAATTTTTGAGATTTGGAAATACGCACCAGTAGTAGAAGACATGCAAATAATACTTCAAGGTAGTAACAATTACATAAGGGTCTATGTAACATCAATGCATTAATTGTGAGCTTAAATGACATAATTGTCTTCAACTGACTAAGAAGAGGATTCACTAAACTTGCTTTTGCAAATACCATTTCTATAGCAACACATAGGATGATAATTACACTAGTATCGAGTAGTAAACATATAATGAAGTAATTCTATACACTTAAGAGAGGGGGAAATATTGTTAGCTATTTGGAGATCGTACACTGCCACAATGCTTCCTTTACTAGCAATAGAGCTTAGGAAATTCACTTATTGATAATTACACTAGTACGTGCAGAAGAATATTGAATCAAATAGCCTTACATACCTTATCATCTGACCAATACAACTATCACGATTTAACCTCCCCTTTCAGGTTTGAATCTCAATTTCTGCAATTTCTCCTTACAACTTGAACTCTTTTATAACTTCAACTTCCATTCACACTTGGTTTGCAGATATGAGGGTTTCTTCAAGAACCCTAGAAGGAACTTTAAGGCTACTACTTTAATCCTTAATAGAAAAGAGAGAGAGAGAGTTGGAGTTAATTCTCAATATTGTGTGTTAAAAATGAGTGAGAATAGCAGCCAATTTATCTTTGGTTAAGCTTTCTTCACCTTTAAGAATATCCTCTAGAACCTCCCATTTTTGGTCCATTTTCAGCCACTAATTGGTCAAGTAGGTGATGCACCTGCTTATGTACATCAAGCAGTTCAAAAGGTCAAACTAGGTGATGAACCTACTTGTTTTCACTTGAGCTTAAATATACTGGGCCTTGTTAGATTTGGCTGATGGGCTTTAATTTCATTTTCCTTTTATTTAACTTAGATTGGGCCTCAAGTGAGTCCATTAGGATAGGCCCAAATCTGATCCATAAACCTTGGCCTTTTTAACTAGATCCATATAGATAAAGTAGGTGATGCACCTTCTTGGTCTTTTGAACTGGTCAATAAGTCAAAGTAGGTGATACACCTATTTGTCACCCTACTAGCTTAGTTAAGTCAAGCAAGCAACTCAGTTATTTTATTCCATTTTCTAAATATTAATCCTTTTTTCTTTAACTTAGTACTTAACTTTCAACTTTAAGCTCAATTACCACCTTATTGTCTCGAGTTTAAATACTTCTATTAGAGTTAACTTGCAGTACACATGTTGAAACATGCAAGGCATCACATCACCTTCCGATCTAGTTTAAGCCAACGCTAATCATATAAGAAGCATGGTCCCTCACCTATACTATAAGGCTATGTCAAGTATCACAAAAATAGAACAAGCATATATATAATGCGGGCTGTTAAATCCTTCCCCCCTTAAAACATTCTTCCTCGAATGTTAGCATGGCTATCCAGCCCAAACAAGTTCAAGCCTAAGTTAGTACTAATATTAATCACATTGAACATAGACTTATACTTACTTGCCAACGCCTCAACTACGCAATTTCATCTTTCTCTTCGATTTGAAAGTGACGAGGATACTTCAATTTCATTGATTCTTCTGCTTCCCATGTAACTTCTTTTATTTGTTGGTTCCTCCATAATACTTTTACAGAAGCTACTTCTTTATTTTTTAACTTCTTAACTTGTCGATCCAGAATAGCAATGGGTACTTCTTTATAAGTTAGATCTCTCGTAACCTGTACATCTTCAGTAGGAGTAATACGATATGGGTCACCTATGCATTTTTGAATCATTGAGACATGAAACACCAGATGAACGGTTGAAAGCTCTTGAGGTAGCTCTAACTCATGCACCACTTGGCCAATTTTTTGGATAATCTTATATAGCCCTATATAGCGTGGACTGAACTTTCTCTTTTTACCAAACCTCATTACATCTTTCATTGGTGACACCTTCAAGAACACCCAATCCCCTATAGAAAATTCTAGTCCTCTCCTTGTAACATCCACATATGATTATGTCAGCTTTGAGCTATTTCTAGCCGCTGATGTATTACTTTGACATTTTCCATAGTTTGATGAACAAGGCCTGGCCCAAATAAGGCAGTTTCACCTGTTTCGAACCAGCCAATCGGGGATCTACATTTTCTACCATATAAAGCTTCATAAGGTGCCATTTTAATACTTCGATGGTAGCGATTGTTATAAGCGAATTCAATAAGCGGTTGATAATCATCCCTACCCTTGAAGTCTAATACACAAGCTCGCGTCATATCCTCAAGTGTTTGAATTGTACGCTCTACCTGACCGTCTGTTTGGGGGTGAAAGGTTGTACTTAAATTCAATTGTGTTCACAAACTCTTCTGAAATGACTTTCAAAAACATGCAGTGACTTGAGCTCCTCTATCAAATATTATAGAGATTGGCACTCCATGTAGTCGAACTATATCTTTAATATACAACCTTGCATACTCTTCAGCTTTATCAGTAGTCTTCACTGGCAAGAAGTGTGTTGATTTGGTGAGTCTGTCAACTATTACCCATATGAAATCAAACTTCCAGAATGAGTGAGGCAAACCAGTAACAAAATCAATGTTGATCATGTCCCACTTCCAAATTGGAAGTTCTATACACTGCATATAACCTTCGGGATTTTGGTGCTCCACTTTTAACTGTTGACAATTAGGACATTGAGCCACGAATTCCGCAATTTTCTTCTTCATGTCCCCCCACCAATACATTTCTTTCAAGTCATGATACATTTTAGTTGACCCTGGATGGACATAATATCTTGAATGATCTGCTTCCATTATGATCCGCTTTCTTAATTCATCTACATTAGGTACACACAATATGTTTTGAAATAAAAGTACTCCCTATTGCATAAGCTCAATTGCCTTTGTCATACCCTGTTGTACATTCTCCATAAGCCGTAATAGAATAGGATCGGTGTACTACTTCTCTTTTACTTCCAGTACTAATGAGGATTCTACTGCATTTTCCACAATAACCCCTTCTTCTGGAGATTCAAGAAGGCGAACCCCCAAGCTAGCTAGTTGACGTAGATCCTTAGTTATTCCATGTCTTTCCACATACTATCCATAAGTGCTTGCCATTATTTTACGACTTAACGCATCAGATACTACATTTGCTTTCCTGGGATGATAAAAAATATCAATTTCATAATGTTTTAATAGTTCCAGCCATCTTCGCTGCCTCAGATTTATGTCCTTTTTCTTAAAGATATATTGTAAACTCTTGTGATCTATGTATATGTCAACATGAACTCCATACAAGTAGTGGCGCCATATCTTCAAAGCTAATACAATTTCTATTAGCTCTAGATCATGAGTTGGATAATTTTTCTCATGTTGCCATAGCTACCTTAGGCCATAAGCTATTACTTTACCATACTGCATCAATACACATCCTAGGCCCACTCCCAAAGCATCACAATACACTCCATACCCTTATGTTGCTTTTGGTAGTCCCAATACAGGTGTAGAAGTTAATTTATGCTTCAGCTCTTGGAAGCTTCTTTCACATGCATCACTCCATTGAAACTTGGTTTCTTTGTATGTTAGATTTGTTAAGGGTGCATCAATGGAAGAGAATCCTTCAACGAACCTTCTGTAATAACCTGCCAATCCAAGAAAACTACGGATCTTCGTAGGCATTGTAGTTTTTGGCCAGTTTTTCATGGGTTTTATCTTTTGAGTATCAACATGTATTCCTTTGTCAGATACAATATGACCTAAGAATGCCACATGTTTTACCTAGAACTCACATTTGTTAGCCCGAATGACATGACTAGAAGCTCAAAATGACCATATCGTGTCCGAAAAGCTGTCTTGGGAATATCTTTGTCTTTGACCTTACTTGGTGATAACCCGACCTCAAGTCGATCTTTGAAAAATAGTTAGCACCTTGTAACTGATCAAACTAATCATCAATTCTAGGGATGGGATATTTGTTCTTAATCATTACCTTATTCAACTGCCGGTAGTTAATACACATTCTTAACGAGCCATCAATCTTACGTACAAACAAAATTGGTGCTCCCCATGGGGACATACTAGGCCTTATGAATCCTTTTTCTAATAAGTCTTTTAATTTCTCCTTCAACTCCCATAATTCTACCGAGGCCATTCTAATTATGCAGACGAGCCCAGGCGCCACGTTATAAGAAGAAGGATGTGGAAGCTATTACCACCTCCTCTACTGAAATCCGACATACTAAGGTTGACTATTTGAAAGATGAAGTTGAGAAGAGGAGGGAAGCCTCGGTGGATGCATCCCTTACTGTTGATATTGAGACACTACCTGCAGAGGCAATTTTGCCTACACCGGCCTCTGGCCTTCATGTATTTTTAGCCCTGCTCCTTCTATTACTACAAGCTCTTCGACTGCTCCACTGCCTCCTGGGTATGTTGCAAGTTCTGTTGCATCTCAACCTCCACTAACCCAAGCCATGCTATTATGGATAGGGTATCTAGCCCATTCTGCCGATGTTTGTTCCTCCAAGCTAGAGCCTACAGTACCTAGGATGATTGAGAGAGCTCTCACTGCTGCGGTGACACCTCTTCGAAAGTCTATTGATTCCCTCACTACAAGGATAGAGATGTGTGAGAGAGGTCAGAGAGCCAGTCCTGAGTTGACGGCCTTAGAGGCCGTAATTGCTAAGTTGAGAATGGATGTGGACCTGCTGAAGTCCACTGATATGTCGATGATTTTAAGTACCGTGGAAATCCCTGAAGACCTGGGCGCAAATATTCCAGCATACTCTGATATACTTCCGGCTACCATCATAATGAGGTTAGAGCTGATGATATATCTGCAGAGTCCGAGGTTGAGACTGATGAAGAGCAACTCAGTGTTTAAAATGAGACCTCTTATTAGGGCTTGACTGGCTTGAGGAGGCTGTGGTGTATTCAACCATCCATACTTCGTTGAGAGAGACCTCCACGGAAAGCTCTCGTTGATCCACTGTTGATGTTACCCCGGACACGGATGCCCAAGACTAGAGTGTGACCCCAGACATTGATTCCCCGATAGACGGAGCGACTGTATAGACACGATCATTCTTTACCTCCCTCTCTGTTGTTTTTGTGATTACTTTGTTTTTAGTTGCATTTGAGGACAAGTTTTTTTCTTTTGTGGGTGTGGTGAGGTATTTCTATACCTACCTCTTCTGATTTGATTTTGTTTGTGAATATTGGGTTTGTGTTTTAATTGGCTTTGATCTTATCTTGTGGATATTTGAGTTTATGGCTTCTTGTTTTGAATGAAAATGGTTTTTTGACCTATTTCAAAAAATTTGTGCCACCTCTTTTGTGTATGAATGTGGTTCTTCTTGTGCGAATTTGAGTATTGATTATGATCAATGCTGATGACTTAAATAGTGCTCTTAATTGAACAAAATGAATGTGCGGCTACGACGAGGACAAATGAATTGCATAGACAATGTGTGGACTTTTAGTATCTCGTTGTGACTAGCCGGTTATCGAGTGAGTCTGTTGTGATGAACATTGCACACTAGCTAGAAAGTGTGGAGTCTCGTTTGATATTGGTGCCAATGCCTTGTGTGATGAGCTTACCTTGAATGTTCTGTGTGATGACACCTAGAATTTGTTCCATTGGTCCGGTTCACTAAGTGATGCAAGCACTTGAAATTTGACAATATACCTTTTTTGTTGCCAACCTTGTGAGATGTGTGATCCTTGTTTGAGCCCCCTTAAGCCTTATCCTTTTCTAGAAAGAAACTTGAACAACTATGACCCCTTTTTATCCATTCACCCATAACTCTCTTGAAGTGTAGTTTGTTTCAATAGCCAACTTAGGCCAAAAGCCAAAATTGGGGTTGTGGTAAAAATGGAAGGAAAATCAAGAAGTGTGAGAAATTCCCCTGTGAGAATGGTTTTAAAAAAGATGAAACCCCTCTATAAAAAAAGTGAAGAGAAGGAATGAAAAAGAAAAAGAATGAAAAAGTTGTGAAATAAGTGATGAAAATTTCAAAAGAAATGGGGTATCCGGTAATCTATTTGAAAGTGAATAATGGGGTGAATTTGAGTATGATCAAAATGTTGAAGAAAAGGATGAAAGAGATGTTCAGACCGTATTTCTTGAGGGTAGCAGCCACTGAGCCTAAATTACCATACCTTTATACTCAGCCCTATTACAAGCCTTGTAAAGAATTTTGTGATCTTGAGTGAGCTGAAACGAGTGTTGATTGGAAAATAATGTCAAGCCTATGGGTGAAGTAATGCATGTGTTCATCTTTCTGAGTGTGAGAGTCGTATGTGATTCCAGAACATTAAATTGTTGAGAAATTGAGTGTGAATATGGAATCATCTTTGTTGTGAGGGCATTTGAGTACCTTTATTGAACTTGAACTTCCATTTGAAGCAAGTGTTGTGAACTTGAGCATCTTTGATAATGGTGAGTAACAATTTGAATATTTGAGTGCACATTTGTTCCTTGCATGAGTAAGTTGAATCTCGTTGTGTGCATTCATGTTGAGTCTTATGCAACAATGTTTGAGACATCCTTTTTGAACTATTGAACTTGAGATTTACTTGAGGACAAGCAAAATTTTAAGTTGGGGATGTTGATGAGTCCTGAATTTGGACACATATAGGGCTTTGTTTATATAGATTTAGTGTCCTCAAATGCTTAAGTTGTGCCATAAACTGATGTTAAATCCTTGATTTTCAGGTATATGGATTAAGGAACAAAGCAATGACACTAACAAGGATAAAGGAACAAAACAAGCTGAAGAAATAAAGAAGGGCGAGCCTAAGGATCGCCAATAGCTCTTGGCGAACCGCCGATTGGCTATCTGACAACCTAAAGTTCCAATGTGCCAAGCCCTGGAGGAAAGAAATCAAGTTGGCAATGAAAATGAGCAGTCGGCGAATCGCAGATCACTTCCGCGAAGCAAAGATCAATCACTCAAAGTTACAGACCTTGAGGATGCTGAATGCTAAGGCGAAAAGGCAATGAAAGAGGTCTAAGGGCAGCTCACTGAGTAGTTCGGCGAGCCTGACTTACTTCACCGAGTGTCACGACCCAAGGCTACCCACTAGACATCACATGGTGTTCTTGACCCCAAAAGGGCCTCATAGCATTCTTGAACATAAGAGCATAGGAAAATAAGGCGGAATTTAAAACTTTCCTTACAATTGAAATCATTTTTCATTAAAAAGCAAGCGGAAGACTTTCTAGACTTTGTCTCAAACCATCTAATACTTTGAATACAACATTAGGACTTAGC